CACACACAACCCCCTGAGTTAGTCACCAAGCAGCAATCAGTGTAACATGTGCCCCAAGATACTAGAGGTACAACTTAGTGGCTTCTGTGGTGGTCTCTGGATGAGTTCTTGCTGCTGTGAGAGGGTCATTACATGTGAAAGGGCGTGCTTATTTAAGAGAAACACTGATGTTATGGGGAAATTATGAGAAGGGTTCATCTCCTGTCTGGTGCTCCACAGAAGAGTTGTTGTGAACGTCCAGCCCTTCAGGCTGTTCTGGGGGAAGTTTCTGAGAAGATTGATGCTGTGAGTTCATAGAAGGGAGTGTGTCTGGTGAGTGGAAGGCTCAGACTTAAATTTCCAGAAGCTTGCAGGCAATGGTAGGTATCTGAGATGGCAGCCTGTCTGCTCCAGTCAGTGCCAAGGACAAACTTTGCATTAGTATGGGGTAAGTAGAGAGGTTTGTGCTTTCTGTAGTTGCAAACAAGCTGCTGAAATGTGGTCAGTGGGAAAGTTGCTGTAGAGTTTGGCCCTGATAAACTCCTCTTTCTGACATTGACAACTTCTCTCTTTTTATTTTGTCCCCTTGTTGTAGAGCCCAAGTGTTCAGACCTCTGCTCCATCCTGAAAGGAGGAGATTTTATTTGCATAGGCAAAAGTTGTCATGGCAGGACAGAGAAGGAAGAATGGAAGAGGGGGTAAATGTTGGAAAGGCAAAGTAGTCAGAATGTGATATGACAGAGATGAGGTCAAATAAGCTAAACACAAAGCTAGACTAAAACAGCTTAACGAAAAAGACATAATTTAATGTACAGTGATACTGACCGTAGAAATATAAGACAGGTTAGATGGATACAAAATACAAGGAATAAGGTCCTATGTGATTAAACGAAAAAAAGTATTCTTTTTTTCCTTCTGTCTTTCTCTTCATGTCCTCAGTGAATTTACCTGTCTTAGTTGTAATGCAGAACTCGGGATTCTCTTACCATACAAGAGGTCGTCAGATAAAAAGGACATGATTTAAAGCAAATGTGCCTTCTGAAACATTCATTTCTCAGTAAGAGTAGCGAAGCATAATGTAATTAAAACAACTGTCTACAGTGTTTATGTACAATCACATCGAGTAGACAATACCTTTAATTTCATTGTAAGGCCAGACACATGGGGAGGAAGGGTTGACGCTATCTCTCAGACAGCAGTAATCAAGGGCTGACAACTCAGCTTTGGAAATTGAACAGGTTAGAAGTTCTTGGCAGTGATTCCCAAATGCTCAGGAGACTCAACGCAATCAGCAGCTTTGACATTTTGGCCAGCTAGTTAAATAGTGTTGGCTATAAACATTACAAGGCGAGTGATCACCCCCTTATGTGCTGGGCCTGGGGCATACGCTTCCTGCCTTCTGTCTCGGGAGCAAGGGGAGCCTCTAAACCAAGGAGCTCTTTGATGACACCCTGTGAATAACTTTTCAGGCCATAGCAAAGAAGAGGAATTTGCATTGTTTGCATGTTAAACACAACAGAAGGGAGATAAGGGTTTATACAAGATTTTGCAACTAAGCATAAATGACAGCACCCTAAGTCTACTGAACTTGAACCCCCTTTGCATTGTTTAGCCAAGAATGAGCGCTGCTTCATATGGATGGTTCAGAAGTCAGACTGAAAAGATGATCTGCATACCTGCACCTCCCTAAAATACAGTATTTATTTATTTATTTGTCCATTTATTTTATGGGAAAAACTGCTCACAGAGGCAGTTTCCCCAGTGCGAGTGCCTGAATTCAGGAAACTAAATCTATATGTAAGCAACAAAAAAACAGATCTGTTCATGCATTTGAATGAATGCATGAAACTGGAACTGCATGCATGCATAAGCGATTGCAGGACTATATTTGCTTGCAAATCTGGTTTAGTGCTGAAAAATCAAGGTGATACGGTAGTGATAGTTAATATAGCAGTGTAGTATGGTTAGTTTAGCACTTATACTATGCCTGTCTGTTTGAAATTGCAGTAATTTGTTGCTTTCTAATGGCCAGGGAATTTGATCCCATGAGCAGGGATGGGGCTTACATGTTTGAATTAAGCTACCTGGTTTTGCATGCTCCTTTTGCATGATGCTGCGGAAATGATGACTGCAGGCTGTCTGTAAAACCACATGTAATCTGACACAACTTCTCAGCAGGCCTGAGAAAGCATAAGTGAAGCCAGCGACTGAACGTCACGTTCTCTGTGAGGGTAAGAAGTTAAGCCCAGTTCACTGGGAGCCCGGACAGTAGTGTGAGGAGGTACCAATAGCTGAATACGTTTTCAATGGGCAAGGTTAGTTTCCAGTTTCTTCCCTCTTCTCCATTCCTGGTAGTTAATAATAATTAGTCCTAATTAATAATATATAAATATATACAATATAAATTAAAATTAATTAGCAGCAATAAGTAGTCATTGTCAAGAAGGCAGAAGGAGGAAGACAGAAGATATTTTTAAACATCCAACTTGTCGCTGGGATTGTCTGCTTCATTTTTTCCCACTATTCCTTTGAGGCCGTTTCCTTCGTTACATTTCCTAAGCCCTTTTAGGTATTAAACCAAGACCCAGTGAAAAAATCAGTAGGAGTATGCCATTTGCCTTGTTGGGCACGATCCATTAACGTTCAGGTGTTACAGTTGTTTCGCCTTCTGGTTTGTCGTTTCTAAGGTGTGACAGCACGTTTCTTACTTGGACTGGTGTGGTCTAGTGAGTGCACTCTGAATGCAGTCAAGGAGGCGTTAATCCCTCTAAGCAGTCAGATGGTAGTCATGAGTTCGTCTTTCAGATGGGGAAGTAGCTGATTCCCACTGGCAGACCAGCTAAGTAACTCTTCAGAGGGATTTAGCTGCACGCGGCCACCATCTAAAAACAAATACTTCTGTATATGAAATGAAGAGTATGCAGGTGTAGAGTACAGAATTCAACATAGCTTTTCACCATCAAACTAAGTTTTAGGCGACTTCCTCAAATACATAGCAACGTACCTATTAGATTTGTAGGAGTGGATGGAGCTGAGCTCAGCTTTGCTGGGCCAGGTTTGCAAGATTTACCAAGAGTAGGATCTCAAATGCAAGGATGCATTCAAAGCAAGGCCCCAGCCAAGTGAGTGTAGGTAGGCTGCCTCATCCAGGGGGTGGAAATGTGGCAAAGGCATTTGCTGCCCACCCGAGCCAACACCTTTGGGAGAAGCATCTTGCTCCTCTTGAAGTAGAACTCTGGGATGGATGTAGTCCCTGTAGTAAGGAAGGAGATTATCTTCAGTTCTTTAATTGCTTAGTTTCACCTGCTGGACACAGCTAAAATGAGTGCTTAGATCACATCTGAGAAGGAAGTTACATCTCAGGAAGCAAAAATAGAAACCATAGTGCAGGCAATGAGTTAGAAGACTGAGGCAACACATGTGAAGCAATGAAATATTCATGTGAAAAGAGACATTTTCAGAATGATTAGGGAACCTCTGAGGGGCTGAGCTTCTGTTTTAAGATACATGGTGAAGATGAAAGAATAAAGGAAAATTAACGGTGCAGAAAAAGCTTTTGCCCTCTGTGTAGCTGTTAATTTCTGTCACACCTGCTTTGATACCAGGGGGGTGTTACCGTTTCCTACTGTTTTTTAGCTGTTGGATTTGGATGGGATGGGCCTTTCTAAGTCTGATAAATTGTTTTTTCAGCCAACTTAAGCACAGCATCAGATAAATATTTCAAAGTGAATGATTTGCACCAGCACCAAGAAAATGAGTCTAGGATTGCGGAGAGACAGGCAGTAATCTGTGATATGTATTTATTTGAACTAGAGCCAAGTAAATCCCCTTAGTTAACTGTGTCTCAGCAGTTTTCTCCTTATAAAATAATTAATATGTAGGTAGATGGCTGTTGCCCAGCCATCCTTCATTCTCAATTTTTTTGTTTGCATTGTTCATGGCATTGCTTCAAAAGCAATCTGTAATATCCTTGGCAAATTGTTCTCTCTCTCTCTCCCCCCTGACTAATGGTCTCTTTTAGCAAGTTCTCTTTCCTTCACTGTGTATGGCCATAATGTGCCTGCAGCGTGAGGCTCTCACAGAATCACAGAGTGGTTGAGGTTGGAAGGGACCTCTGGAGGTCATCTGGTCCAACCTCCCTGCTCAAGCAGGGCCACCTAGAGCCAGGATTGCCTAGGACCGTGTCCAGATGGCTGTTGAGTTATCTCCAAGGACGGAGGCTCCACAGCCTCCCTGGGCAACCTGTACCAGTGCTCGGTCACCGTCACAGTGAAAAAGTGTTTCCTGATGTTCAGAGGAAACCTCCTGTGTTTCAGGTTGTGCCCGTCGCCTCCGGGCATAAGGAATAAAGGAAACAATGGGCCACAGTTAGCAGCTTTGTGCTACTGCCTTCTGGTCAGGAGAGCAGCTCTAAGACCTAGTAGGAGAGCTGTAAGACCTGAAAAACTCTCTGCAGTCTCTCTTGGGGGCAGTTAGACTGGCCCCTGCGGCTTGTGCACTTCACCTGGGCTGAGCTGGCAGAAGTCAGGATGTGCATCTGTGCTCTCAGTCGGCTCCTTAAGATTTCACAGCTTTTTTCTGCTGTTATAAGTCTGGTGTTGTATGTGTGCCTGTCCCCGACATGATGGGAGCATCATCTCAGCTCAGAATGCAGAAGAGCCATGCTACTGCTGCCATGGGCACGCAAACCACGGACAGAGCGGGACATAAAATCTTGTAACCAGCAATTGTAATTTAGCTGTCTAGGGAGACAGCCAAGCAACAAATGACACCCTCCCCACCACCTCCCAAAAAAAAATAAATTTCTTGTTACAGAGCAGATGAGCTTTTGCTGTAAGCTGTGATGCCTTGTCAGAAGTTGGCTTATTTTCTGGTTATGCTACTGAAAAATTGTCTTGAGACCACATAGTACTAATCATCTTCTATACCTAGAAACTTTACTGTAACCCAGAATAAGATTTGAAACAAAAACGCAGAAAGTGTTAACACAGGTTTTCTTTTCCTTTCCTTGTCAACCACAGGTAATGCAGGTAGTGAAAGAACAGATAATGAGAGCGCTCACTACCAAGCCTAGCTCTCTGGATCAGTTCAAGAGCAAACTTCAGAATCTCAGTTACACAGAAATACTGAAAATACGCCAGTCTGAAAGAATGAACCAGGAAGATTTCCAGTCTCGTCCAATTCTGTAAGTACTGTCTTCTCTCCCCACTTTTTTGCATGGAATTATTAACAAATGTGAATGATATTTGTGAGCTCTTCTGGGGGAATCCAAGGGGGAAAGCTGTCCAGGGAGCCATGCTCAAAAGCAGTAGTGCAGCATCTGCTTGAAGTGCTTTATGTTTTCTTCTGCTGGGAATCATAACTTTTTCTCTGAGTTCAGTTAAAACAGATTCAGCAAATCCCTACAGGGTCTCACATGGCTTATTTGTATGAAAAAATGCTGTGACATTTCCTAGCTTTGCATGATTGTGAGCCTGGTTTTGGTGCTGGTAGTGACTTTTTTAAAACAAACAAACAAACAAAAACAAAAACAAACATCACAACTTCGTCTTCTGTCCAAGGGCCTTTAAAAATTCCAAATGTCACTTCTCTGAGCGAGACAGGGAGAAGCCCAGAAGAAAAGGAGACAATACACACTGGCTCCACAAGAGTGGTGTTGTGTATGACTGACTGTTTATGGCATTATCTTTGGTGTTAATGACAAGCAGTTACTTATTTGTAAATGATAACATTTTGGAAGCTAGCCAATGGGATTCTCATTTCCTTGTTGTTTACTGCAAAGTATCGAATGCTAGTATCACCACCATAGCTCCTTCCCATTTCTCAGAATACCCTTTGTTCTGTTACATGAAAAATGGAGGCCGTACTTGGCTTTGGACCAAGTCTGGGCTTGTGGCTGAACTGATGGCACAGGACAGATGCAGACTCTGTGGTGCACAAATGATGTGCTGAGAATAGCAGGAACCTTTTGAGATCAGCAGAGAAATGGTGAGGGCTCCAGAAGCATCAGCTGAAATGTCATGAAATCCTGACCGTGTTTCAAGTGGAATGACTCGTGATTTTCAAAATCTCCTTTTCAAGGCAAAAGGTATAGAGAAGGATTTGGACCAGAGCATTTCAGGAGTCAGAAGCAGGATGTTCATTTTGATTTGTTTCTAAAGGATACAGATATCTAAGTACAAGCTCTGGGGACACATTCCTCCAGGGGCAGCAGGGCAACAGTGGAAGCATAAGCTAAGTAGAATTACACACTTAAATTTTAATCATACCAATGTGGATCAAAGGGGAAATGCTTCTTTTATGTTTTCAGTGTATTAGAAGATAGGACCTAATGCCCAATTAGAACTGATGTCACTCATAGTAATGCATCAATTAAAAAGATACAAATGGCTCCAGTCAGTTTTGCATCATTACACTGCTCAGAAATCCCCTGCCAATCCCCTGCAACGTTTAGTGGTTCAAAGCCGCTCAGTACTGCTAAGCTTTTCACTAACACTTCTCGTTTTCCCTGCTTTCCCTATGAGTCAACTGTTTAAGTATGATACAGGTCAACAATTTATATTCTCTTGCACCATTGCCTAGCCGCCTGAAACTTGCCAGCGTCCTCTGCAAGCTCTTTATTTCCAGTTTCACTCTGGCTAGTTGCTGCCACAGTGAGGAGTCTCCTTCCCCATCATGGAATGAGTGAAACAGCCAACACAAATAGTTAAAAGCAACTGAAGTGTTACCAGAAACTCATTTCAGATTCAGGACAAAGGCTATGCCTAAAGGCTATAAAGGCTAAGTAAATCAATAAAGTTTTTAAGCAATCACAACTGCATTTGCAGAGATTTAACTCCTGTGCATTTGCATTTTGATTGCATCCATGATCACTTATTCTTGACTGTGAAAAGAAACGGTTCTTTCATTTTCCCCTTTGATTTGATTCCCTGTACTGAACTCTCTCAAATTGCATAGATGGCACAATTGATAGAAGCACAGA